AGTCCAATACCCATATGAGCCAAGGGTCCACCAAGAAACTTCCCGGTTTTCATTTCGGGGCAGTCCGCGTAATAAAAATAAAAATAAAAGGCATAAATTGTGCACAATACGTTGACAGGTTATTTTAAATCAGTTGTGCGTTTTTATAAAAGCATAAAGTCTTGCGACAATTCAGCTAATAAACATGGATTGAGTAAATGGATAAACATCAAATATTTTATCGGAAGTTATCTTTAAAAACATTACTGCTAACACAATCTTTTTACAAGTTTTGGCTATTTCTGCAGGCAACTCAATACAAATTTTAGAAGTACTAAATGAAATGTTATAACAACAAAAAGATTATCGTCAAGCTAAACCCTGAAACTCGTGCTTTTTTTCTTACGCAATAAACAGCTATACTTTCAGCAATCAAAAGAGTACTTTAGTTATATCAAACACTATGATCATTCTTTTTGGACCTATAATTCTTCCAAAGTGATATAAAACTTTTTAAATAACGAAATGGATGAAATCGTACTATTTTATGTTCTCAGTCAAGCAAATGTTTTTTATAACACAGTGAAAAAAAAATTAACAGTTGGCATTTCTGCTACCATACTGTTTACCATAGTTTACCATACTGTTAATAAAGTTTAAAAAAATAAAATAGCATATCTACCTTTTATGGTAAAATAGCCTTTGCAAATTAGCAAAGAAAGTAAGTTACATTGTGATACAGAGACAGATACAGGTTTTTTTAATGTTTAAGATTCAAAAAACATGACCATATAAAGTTTAAACCCTTCTTAATTTGAGGGGGTTACACATTTTATATCACCATAATTTTTGAACGCTGAGAAATAATACAATGAAAGTTAAAAGTTAGTAATAAATATAAGTGCAGTTGAAAATAGAATAAAATTTTTTTTATTAACTTGTTGCCCCTCGCGTTTGGGGTAAGCGATGGGGATAAAGTTAAAGAGATTTCTTCTACCAAGCTTCCAATCATCTCAATTTTTTGCAAAGCATAATTATTTGACTTATCTATAAACATACAAATGTTAAGAGTTTGCTCTATGTCTGGATGTTAGCTAACTCAGACATCATAAATCATAGATCCATCACTGGTGTGGTGCATTATGAAAATATAAAACAGATGGAAGTTCAACAGCATTGAAATGCTTCAGAAGTATGCTTGCAATCTTAATCAAAAACAAATCGGCATACTCAAAAAGAAATCGGCATAATTTTTATACGTTGACGCAAATGCGTTCATATTATTTTAAAAATACTTTATTTTAAAGTATTTTAGTATAATAGCGACAACAATCTTTCATAAACTTCATATTGAATGAATGAAGGAATACAAGTATAAATAGAGATATCAGATACAACTAATGAAACTTTATGCCTAAAGTAACTTAAAAAGCATTTTTTTTGTTTTTTTTGTTTTTAAAATTGTTTAATAAAATGTCGTGTCATGATTCAAAACCAGAGAAGAAGCTTAAAGTAACGTTTGTTTTTTAAAATAAAGTGATTTTATTTATTTACTGAGTTATACTCAGCTTTATGTTAAATAATGACAATAACTAATGGTTAAAACCGGGAGGCTAAATAGGTGCGAATTGGCGTATGCGCAAACTGGCATAAGTGCGAAGCAGTTACAAAAACTAGCATAAGTGCGAATAGACATAAGTGCGCCGAATGAAATTGCAAATATTCGCATAAGTGCAAATTAGTATTTCGCACTTATATGCCAGCTCGCACTTATGCCAATGTTTGCAAATTTGTTAGGCGCACTTATGCTAATTCATACTTATGCCTGTTCGCACTTGTGCCAGTCTTTGCAACTGCTTCGCACTTATGCCAGTTTGCACTTATGCTAGTGTTTGCAAAATCTTTTGACGCACTTATGCCAGTTCGCAATTGTGCCAGCTTTTGTAACTGTTTCACATTTATGCCAGTTTGCACTTATGAAATTCGCGCTTAATCAGTCGTCCCGATAAAACTATGTGGCGTATCCTTTAAATGATTATTTTTTAATGTTTAAATAAAAATCATTTTAGTCAATTTTTGTGTTTTTTGTCCAGTAATAAAAGTTATTTTTTTTTACATCGATATTTTTCTTGGTAAGCTCTCTTATCAAACCTCTATTCTGACAGTCTTTTTTAAGTCAGCAAACATGAAAAAGATGATTTATTTAGTTCAAGAGAACCTGCCCAAACCCAAACTCTCAGTCGATGTATGCACACTTAATTTGCCTATGGCTAAATAAATCAGTCGATGTATGTACACTGTGAAGCGCCTATCGAAAATTCGCTATAACCCCAATTATAGACTAACTTTCGTGTGACTTAAATGTGCGAAGTTTGGGAAATCAGACAAAAAAACTTTAGTTAAAAAATCATGCTTATAAATTTATTATTAACATTTTTAATGATAGGGGTAACAAACTGTTTTGTTAAAAATAAAAACTTAAATATTAAAAAAATATTTATGAAATGAAAATCTATTTCTTACTCTGATTTTATTTTAAATAACACAAAATTTGAACTAAATTTAAATTTCTTAAAACTACTAGAAAACCATGAACACCCTAAAATTAGATTAAATTCCATTGTTTTTTTCTAACTTCAAAGTAAAGCCGCGAGAAGATATTTGATATAGTGGGTTTTAAAATGCATAAACGCAATAAGCTAATTTTTCTCATATTACTTTCTAATGTCTTCTTTTTTTTTTTTTCTTTTCTTTTTTTTTTTTTTATACATTAAAACAAAATGCCAGAATATAAATTTATAAGAACTCAGATTCTTGCTTCTATAGCATCCATCTTAAAAATAACACCGATTTTTAAATCTTTTTTTTTTAGGTCCACGGTGTTCTTGAACCTCTTAAACAAAGGATAGTTGAGCGAAGTATCTCAAAAGATAACTTCGTTCTTACCCACGTCATAACAATTGAGTATTTTTCATTTTGTTTTTTCCGCTAGTTTTTCCGCTAACCTTCTAACAAACCAATGATATATCATTGGTAAACAATATATTCTTTACCCATACCTCCATTTGTACCATGTTCGACTTCACGAACTCGTTCGCCATACTCTCTTCTTTTTATTTTCGTGTTTTCTGAATATAGCAGCTATATCTAGATTTTTGTTGCTCATGGAATTGACATGCGTAACTCTTACGTCAAAAAATGCTGTCTGTCCATTTCGCCAAAAACTATTTGCTTTAATATCCAAACGAGCTTGGTTACTTTTATTTGCTGTATGGAAATAAAAATTCTCATTATCAAGGGGTATGAGGTG